TTTCATAAACATTTTTTAATTTCTCTGCAATAAGACATTCTGCTACTTATGCTGGTTTCCATAATGCACTCTCATTCAAGTCTGAAGATAATGCTACTAAAGATGACAAGAGATGTGTAGTTCACCCATGCTCAAAAACCCCAGGGAAAACACCACCCTTGTCCCTCAGGTGTTTAAATGTGCAAGGAACACATTTGTTTTTTCCTGGTTATCTTCAGAAAGCTCTGTGTTTACAAAGAGTTCAAGTGCGGCAAGCCTGATTACAGCACAGGCTACACACACACGGTCAGACATCACACTCTGCTGCCCCAGCAAGACCAGGACACATACCACAAAGTCAGAACTTTTTTTATTTCTTTTAATCAAGAACCTGTCTGAAGGAAAATACTAATTATTGCAAGATGTCTACCCCAGCATCCTACGTGTTGAGTCTAAAGGAATCAGCAAATTCTATCCCGTACGCCTTTACTGTGGGACAGGGGACTTCAGTTTAAAATGCAGGAATATAATTCTACCCTCTCCTTGTTCCCAGCTCCCTCTGCAAAACAGTCACATTAGTCTGATTTCATGTTAGCGCTCAACACATCTTCTGGGACCAGAGTGATAGTGTTTTCCACATTTCTCTAAGCTAAGCTTCAGGGAATATAAATAAGCGTTCTAACCGCTGGACTACAGTCATGATGCATCTTGTTTGGCCGTGAAGCTGAAATTCCATTCTGTTAGTGCAGAAATAACAGAGGAAGGCCCTAGGCTATGATTTGATGATAACTGGAGTCTCCAGGGAGATTGGGATGAAGTCCAGAGAGGTGCCTCAGAGCGGAAAGTGAACTGTACCATGACTCCCACTTATTTCACATCTTCTGATTCAAAACTCAAATGCTTTCATGTCACAGCTGGAAAAGCAAGTGCATGTTTGCCCTACTGTGAATAAAAATAGAAGCAATTTTGTGGATGCTGCTGTGCTGCTAAATGATAAAACCCCCACAATATTAAGAATTAAACGAGGTTTTTCTAACTGCAGAAAAGGTAGTGACAAGTGATTAATTCCATCAAGCATCAACCCAAGTGTTCTAACTAAATTAAGATCCAAACACAATTTATAAGAAAAAGATTTTGGACTAAAAATTAAATCAAGTTAAATCCCTTTCCAGAAATTAAGAACTAATATTATTAATAAGCAGCAGCGCAACTTGAAACCTCATCACTGAATGCACTCCAGTCAACAAGACTACAGAAAGGAAGACCTGTGTAAATACTGTGATGTTGTTTGTCACCAGAGGTCATTGGACTCACTTCTCTGCAAGAGTGCAGAAATGTTATGGACAGGTAGATAAGCTCTGATGCAAATCAAGGCATTGAGCCTCCCTTGGCTTGCACATGGTGTGATTCTTGGAGTATTCTGTGCAGGGCCAAGAGCTGGACTCAGTGATCCTGATGGGATTCCTCCAGCTCAGCATATTCCATGATTCTGTGGTTAAATTCTACGAAAACCTGATGGAAGCACAGCTACCACAACAACAAAATAAAACTACCTGATTGCAGTATAGTTAGTTATTCTCAACTGTGAGTCTTCTCTGCTACTGAAATCTGTTATAAAAGATTGATTGGTCCTTGGCCTTCAGCCAAGACAACAGTACAAATCCTTCCTGAAAAAGGGGTCAGGAACTACAGCTCCAACCTGTTTTTGTCCCTTTACCCCTCACATCCTCAAAGCACTGTCTCCAGTAAGGCTGTGTTTTGATCAACTTTAGCGCAACCAAGTTAACCACGCCCACATCTGCTCGGTCACATCTCAGAATCATAATCTTTATGGTTGGAAAAGACCTCAAAGACCATTCAGTCCAACCGTCTTCACAGATATTTCTGGGTTTCCAACCTCCTACCAGCTAATACTTACCCATTTGCAAGCAGGATTGCTGGTTCTCTTTTACCATGAGTTGAGAAGAGGCAGTATCTTCCTTCTGGTATCTCTAGGTGCTGCTTCTCCCAAGATCCTTATGTTTCTCAGAAAATTCTGTTCTCTTGAAGCTTCAAAGGGGCTGGATCCCCAGACATTTCCCAAGTTTCCCATTGCCAAAGAGTCCAACAGTGGCCCCTCCTTAAATCACCACTCCCTCTTCAACTTTTACACAAAAGACTCCACATTTTAGACTTTGTTTCCCCCACCTGGTAGCCCTGTAACTGCCCCAGGTATGGTGTGTAAGCATATCATGGTCCAATGAAACCCACATTTCCTTTTCAAATCCTCTAGGGCAGGTACAGGGCACGTACCTGGTGGTCAAAACTGGCAAATACCTCTGCCCAACAGCATTAGCCTAGGTTTTGACTTTCCACCAGTTTCTTTTAAGCTCAGCTATGAAATGGTTAGAGTGTACTATTAAAGTTTGTCCAAAGGAAAGAAATTTGTAACTGGAAATAACAACAAAACAAGACTAATTTCTGCCTAGTTCATCACAGACATTTCCTGTCTCTTCAAAAGTAAAAGGAATTGTTGCAACGGCTGTTTTTCTCCCCAAGAACTGGAGAAGAACTAAAACAGAACGTTGTATTTAAATCCATAGCAAATACAGGCATAACCAGATAAAAGATTAACACAGTGCTCTTGAGAGAAATCCAGTGTGGTCCACAAAAATGAGTTCTAACACACAAGAAAACACCAAAAAAGGAGAAATTCAAGACAACTGTATCCTCAGTCAAGATGATCTGTCCAAACCCGCAACAGTTACTATCATGAGATTTTCAAGAACTGTATGGGTAGTTGTGGTCAGCTTGGCTCAACAAGACTGAGCAGTTCAATATCTAAAGGAATGCAAAATTTCCTACCCAGGAAGTGCCTGTTCAAACTCAGTATCTGACATTTTAGAAACTGACTTGAGTGTCACAGTGCACTCATGTTGTCTCTTGATTTGCAGCAATGTAACAGAGGTGTTACACCACAGCAATTCAATTTCAGATTATGCATTAGCTTGTAGTTAGGTCATGTAAATTGTTTCCACCTTCTGCCCATGAAGATTAAATAAAGGTGAAGTCCTTGGGTGGCTCACAGGCTTTTGCCATCTAACCACATCCGATTACCTGCAAAACAGCAGGGATCAAGACGCCTTCCAGTGGTGTTTCAGGTCCATCAGTTATGCAGAGTCAAAGGAGATGTAGGACAATCCTGCTTTCTCACATCCACCTCCTTGGTGTTTACTGTGATGAAGTTTGCTGCCTCCCCGTGATGCAGTTAATGTATCTTCCTTTGTTAAGTGGCCTTAGAAACCACAGGACAGAGCAGCTGTACTGGAGTCTTCATCCAGCCACAGAATCAACACTCAATCTTGTGATACACACTCGGCTATTTGTCCAGGGATATTGTACCTCTGGGGATTGGGTGGTTTTCTTCTTCTCTTTTATGCAGGTTACACAGGAATTATGCCATCAGGCTACCACTACAGAACCACCTTTTTACTCCTAATTCAATCAGAGACCAGCCACCTTCAGAAGCACTACCTGATTTTCCAGTTTAAGTCACATCTTTGGGTGAAAATTCTCAAGGGCCAGGACATCCAGAGTTACTTACAGAATACTTTCAAGTGGAATGAATTCAAATGGCTTTACCAAACTTGCAAGTTAGTTATCTGAGCAGAAAACACAACTCACATCCTTTACCTCTCCACCCCCTACACTCCCACATTTCTTGAACACCTTAGGTGCCCACAAATAACCCGGTTTTTCTCAAGGCATCTGCCTAGAGGCTTTCAAATATCTTTTGTCATAAAAAATGGTTACTTGTGACCTAATTTTATCAGAAAGAACGGCTGTTTTATATTTACACTGGCAGACACAGCTGTAAACCTAACTTCAAGAAAATTTATTGTCTTGGAGATCTGATGACATTGCTGCATGAAAAACTAACTGTATGCAGCAACACAGAGACTACTGTTCACTGAAGGACAAAATCTGCTCACTAAAAGCTGGAACCTGAAATGTATATACATACATCACGCTGCTTATATGCCAAGATGAAATGCCTTGAGCATCTTAGAAGAGTTCAGTATTTTGAAGCCCTCAATTTGATCCAAATCACGATGGGTAGATACCCATTCACTACAGAACTATGACAGCTGCCAGTAAGACTATTTTGACCCTTTTCACTAGAAAAATGGAGCCTTATAATGCCACTGAGAGCGAGCTCCAGCAGGAGCTGTATGTTCCCATCACACTGCACTGTAATGACACCAGCCTTGCACAGGACGTTTGAATTTCATTTTTTAAAAAAAGTTTCAGGGGCAGCCTACACTGGCTTTATGAATATTTACTAACCACATTCAAAAAGCTTTCAAGTTTTCCTCCTGAGAGACATGAAAGTCTGCCAAGCAGTTCAGCTGCACCTCCAGGTTTCAAATGCCATGGCAAATCAGTGTCTACAGAAGATATGTCAGCTGACAGAAACCTTAAAACTCCAGAGAACATCCCTTCACCTCGCAGAATTGTTCCCGTAAGTAAGGCACACCAGACAGAGACGATTCCCACATGCTTAATCTTTATTGTGCGAATGTTGCTCAGAGCATTTATCCCCCTCTGCAGACACACGTTAAAAAAAAAAAAAAAACAATACACTAACAGTGGCTAGATTGGTGGACAACACATTAAATCTATTCGGTGGTAACTTGTGTGCATGCAGTTAAGCTCTGGTGGTGCAAGAAATCCTAGCCAGGAGGCCAGCCCAGCTGACGGCCACCC